AGAAGAAGAAGAAGAAGAAGAAGAAGAAGAAGAAGAAGAAGAAGAAGAAGAAGGAGAAGGAGAAGGAGAAGGAGAAGGAGAAGGAGAAGAATTAATATAATCATTATCAAGCATATTCATAATCGTAATCATAATCATAATTATGAAAATCGTAATAATAATTTTTATAGTCATATTCATATTCACTATTTATAATAAGGATCATAATCATAATCATAATAATCCTTATAATTACAATCATGAAACACATAAAAATAATCATTATATGTAATGATTAATAATTAATTTAGTGTAGAGTCTAACATCTCTTTTCAACACGTCATACACACGCCCTGTATTCAAGTCCAAACACCTACTTAGCCATCTACCTACCCACCAATCCTCCAACATTCCTTCTGCTCAACCAAGCTCGACAACCAACGTCCCGCAAGTTATAAACATATCTTTTGTGCCACGACGCGGAGGAATCAGGCGCTCGTAAAGTTTGGGGCGTGGGGAGTAATCGAAATCATCTTAAAGCTTTTTCATTTGTCTGTCTTTGGTTGAAAAAAAAAAATGCCCATCTATGTTGAATATAATATGTCGAGATATTTGCGACTGAATGAGGTGAATGTCGCCTGGTTTCAAAGGTAAAATTAACGAGAAAATGGCGTAGCCCGAAAGTCTGTGAAAATGTATATTGTGTGTCCTTTAATCAACACTTTTCAGTAAAATTCACAATTAATTGTATTTCTAAATGGACATAGAAGGTCTTGAGCCAAAAAACAATCAACAACAACAACAACAAAAATACGATAAAAACAGCAAAATCGCCGGGGAAATGCCGGTATTTTCAATATAATTATTTTGTCGAGCGTTTGGTTTCACCACGGTGCCTCACAAAACTATAGCGCATACGGAAATTATTTCATTGCGCCCACAGCCACCACTCTAATCCCCTCCACTAGTCTGTCGCGTGGATTAACTGTCTGTCATGAGTCAGAGAGATATCGCACCTAGCCTAGCCTAGCCGGGCCCAAGAGGAGGACGAAGAAGAAAAAGAAGAAGAAAAAAAGGTCTGTCTACATAAGCTACCCATATAAAGGAGTCCCAGCAGTGGTTTAGATGACAGGAGGCATGTTGAATGACTTCGTGTAAACACTTGTGCGGTAGAGATTGTTCATCGTGTTGTTTTAATCATCATCATCATCATCATCATCATCATCATCATCATCATCATCATCATCATCATCATCATCATCATCATCATCATCATC